CCCCCCCCCCCCCGCCCCGAGCGTGACGTAATTTGCGAACGACCCAAGAACAGTAGATTGTGTGAGGTTGTGTTTTTAATTTGAAACACCGGTACCTTTACGTTGTTAATATAATTATAATGCCAGACTTACGGATTACTTGAGACTATATATTCAGATGCAACGCATTTGTAAAGGGTGGAGGATTTTTGGGTGCCAACTTATGAAATTATGACAGGGGAGATGTGCAGCAGTGCTAGAAAAATTAATACACGTTCAATTACAATACCGTACTACTACCACTAGAACTATTACCATACTGTACAAATACGGTAATTAAAAAAACTCATTGACATTTTGCAACACACTGAGATTTGTATATGGTTTCCAGTCAGCGTGATTACCGGTACTCGGACAGTGAATTACTTTGATTCTTTGATACACGTACAAGTGTACCCGGGTTAATCAATTCAAATAGCCGTACCCAGTAGCGTTAGCAACACATTTTTTACATTTCATGATCATCCATGTTTGCTGAATTGAAATCCTCTACTTCTACTGATTTCCCCTTTCTATGTATCCCCAGGCTATGATATATGGTGGTCTAAACATTAGTGGATCTACTTTCACATTTATGGAATTTGAATTTCAATGCACATATGATGCCAATTTCAAATGACGGATTTGAACATTTGATGCCAACTGACAGATCTGAACATTTGATTTGATGTCGATTGACAGATCTGAAATCCAGGCAATGGCCAGTATAAAAAAATAAGTATACCGTACGTAAGAAAATATGTTAATGTTGAATTTTAAAAACTTTTAAAGAGTTGTGGAAGTTGTTTTTATAAGCAGATACCCGGTAATACTTTATTTTTTTCCAAACCCCTACAAGTAGCGGTACTAGAACTCGTGTTAATAAGACTAGTACGGTAATGACATGAGACAACTTGAGTAGATTTAAAGTTAAATTCTCACATTAGTCATTAGCCTTTGATTTATTATTATTTTTCAAATTAGTGTCCCCCTCAACTTGCAATGCAACTTCAGCTGCAGTCAAAAATAGACTTTCAGTCATGCCTGATACCGTACCGGAACTATAACATCAACTACCTGGTACAACTAAAAACCAGTTAAACCGGTGCTTTGCAATGTTGGGTTTGTTAAATTTACTTCAGCAGGGTACCTGGTACATTATTATTTTTTTATAGTAGTGTAGTATTCCAATTTGACAAAAGGAAATAACAATATACCAGAGGTCGGGAACCTTTTTGTCTGAGAGAGCCATGGACACCACATATTTTGAAAAGTAATTCTGTGAGAGCCATACATTATGTTTAAAACTAAAAATTCAAGTAAATGTGTACATTTTGTGTAATTTCAACACTAAATGCAATAATTATGTCTCTGAATTCTTTTTAATAACATTAACATTGCCCATTGTTAATTATTTTTATGCTGTTGCTAATCAAATAATGATATGCAATTAATATGTAGATCAAAGGAGTCTAAAGAAAGTTGTTTTTTTTATAATCGAACATTTGTCTGCGAGCCAGATGCAGCCATCAATAGAGCCACATCTGGCTCGCAAGCCATAGGTTCCCAACCCCTGCAATATACCACACTTTACTTATAATTATAACTTAAAATGGTTAGTCTGGGGTGATGTAAGGGATGTTGGGATAGTAACTGTATTTGCATAGCATCACCACATATCAATTATTATCAAACTACCACTATACTATAATTACATGTTGGTGCAAACATTTTAAAACTGTGTTGTGTCTTTATTTCTTACAATATCTTAGAGTGAGACTTCACCATGAATAGACTAATAAATAATACTTTATAATGCTTGGTCCATTGTGATTGCTGAAGGTCTATTCCTGTTGAAATGCTTCAGTTTGGGAAAAAACTGTTCAAAAAAAAATCAGACTTTTACAAAGAGTAAAGAGCTTATTATTGGCAGATTCAGATAGCATTGGGATAGCTCAGCACTAAACAATTTTTAGAAATTATTAGGGAAATCACAAAAAGCATGGTTATAATAACTGTAAAAGACAGAAAACCACACATACTTTTTCAAAGTTTTTCCTTTGTAATTGTAGAACAGGAAGCATAACAAAGGGATAGAAATGGAAACCTTTTGTTTAAACTAAATACCCGGTTTGTACAATTCTGAATATTGTAGAAATGGTAGTGGTAGTTTATTCAGATTTCATCAACAAGAAAATTAAAAGAAAGCTATTCGTTGTTAAAAAGATAAACAAATTTATTAGACACTTTAAAAGATGAAACAAGTGAATGTTTTCATAAGATGAATTGTGAAAACATGCCCCTCCCCCCAATATATAATAACACATCAGTATTAACATATTACAAAACAACATGCAAGCTTATCTGTCACAATTCACATTCATTAAAAGGTTAATAAATGTAAAATACATGTATTTACATACATCAAGTTTATATCTTCTGCTCAAACACTCATACGGAAAAAGAAATAACTGCCTAACCACTGACTAAAAAATTTGAGTGGCAACGAAAAAAATAACAAGACAAATTGGATACGGTATGTTATTAATTGTTATCCAACAGCACTTTTTAAAGCCAACAATAATTTATCAGCAATCTGCTTGGTCCAAAATTGTCAAAGCATGTGGAAGAGATATCCACTCTGCGTCAACAGATCTAAATTAAAACTGCTCAATTATTTGTTTAACCCATTACAGTCCAAGCTTATTCAGCCTTTTCGTCTCCCAGCGCCCAAGCAAGGGGACATAACTCCATTTCAAATGAAGGTTCTTTATCTAATTAATTTACAGAAAATAAACTAGAAGCAAGAAAATAAAATTAAAAATACCCAAGTACCGTACAAATAAATGATTTAAGCAAAAGTTTGCACATAAAAACAGTTTCTGGGACCTCCAACTTTGATTTGTGAAAAGTTCCCAGACCACTCATGATCTTGCTCATCAGTTGGAGTGGAATTGATAGGTTTGTTGTCATCGATGTCTCTACTATTACTATTATCTTCTTCACTTGAATCACTATCTCTAGTACCAGTACCATAGCATCATTTAAATTAATGTCTATATCGCATTCTTCACTATTGCTGCTAGACTCATGAAAACGGGCAGGTTTGGCCGCAACGGACGGTAGGCTTAAGGGAAAAATCAGTGCATTTCAGGTGCTTCGGACTGTAAAGGGTTAAAGGAATTCAAGTGATAGCAATTCCAATAATAAATTATACTTGAGCTTTTCAATTTTCATTAATGCTATTCTTGTATTCCTAAACATCTCTATATTTGCTTACTTAGACATAAAATTTGAACATACATAACGTAATCCAAAACATTAACTTCAACTTCATTTTTTTAATTCCTTCATTTTTTTACAATAATAAAACTTCTGTGTACCAGCAACAGACCCACCACCTGCCTACCCTTAGGTTTGAAAAGTGAGACATTTTTTGCTGCAGAATTGCTTGCAATGTGTCACCTTAAACTTTACTCTCTGAAATGCTATAGCTGATTAGTTATGTTGTCTTTTTTGGGGGCATTGTTAAGCCAAATCCTACTTTTCTTGGCATGTAAAGTCTCTTGTACTTGTATGCCTAAGCAATTGGGCACAACTTTGTTTAGAAAAGTGCTTATCATAATTTTTTTTAAAGTACTGGTAATAAAATAATGAAACATGAAAAGCAATAATAAAAAATAGAACAAATGGATTTAGAATCCATTAAAGTTAATGTAGAGAGTAATATCCCATCTCTTTTAAGTGCTCTACAAACACCACCCCTGTAAGGACTTGATTGAGACTATCAACAGCAATTTCCCATTACTGGTAACCTTTTCTTTGAGCTCCACGGAAACTGCAGCTAATAATTTTTGTAATATAAGGGAAAAGTTTAATTTTCTTAGTCTTAAAATTTAAAGAAATAAAATTGTTCAAACTGAAATAAATTTGACTTGGTAGGCAGGTCTGAGTACCGGTACCAATTTTTAATAAGAACAAGCATGTACAATTTCCTTTAACTAACGAAAATTATTTTGCAGTTGCCAATGGATTTCTGAGGACTAATATGACAGAGTCACCTCGCAAAAACATTTTGGAAATAAAACGATCTTTGTTAACAGGTTTAGATTTTTTCTTGCCTTTACCAGTCTTCGGTTGTTCAGTCCACATTTCTTTAACATTCTCAAGCACCATGTTGCAATGCCTGGAGAATAAAAATATAAATCACTTAAAACCATCTTTAAGAAAATTAGCTTCTTTTAACTAAAAGATTTTTCAATCAAAATGATGATACCACTTTCAACTTTAACTCATTCCCGACGGTTGGGACTAAATGCGTCTTCTGGGGGTTCCTCCTGATGCGTCCAAATGCGTCCCGGCGCATAGCGACACACCTCTCTTATTTTTAGTTAAAAATAGCAATAAAATCTCGCGTCCCTAGAGACTTCGGGGTATGGCGTGATTTCTGCATGATTTTAATTTAGAAACCGTAAGTTTTTATCTTGTTTCACTTTAAAACTACGTGTGCTTTTGTATGGCGTGTCTATATGTACCATGTGTTCGCCCGAGGTGCCGAAAATCGATTTTTTGGCCTTTGTTCGTTATTTTTTCCCTGCTAATGTTATAATTATATTAAACCTTATTCATTTTTTGTTGCATTTGTTCTTAATTCATTAACATTAAATAATATTTAGCAACTTAAAAAAATATTTAAAAAATGTAAATCAATTTCAAAACTGAGTTGCTTCCCTTTTCTCAGGAAAATAAATTAAGTCCGGAGGTAGCACTGCCGGAGGGAATGAGTTAATGATTCCAAACAGTGACAGGATGATGATTTTTAGGACATAAATTAACACTGACGGAATTAATTTTATTTCCAACCCTCATGGTATCATCTGGCTTACCGGATATCAAAAGCAGAGTCTTGAAAAAATTTTTTTATAAAATAAAACCAACACTAACAAGCAATCGTGAATGAATTTTAATATTTAACTAAAAATTTGTGAATGGATGGACAATAGTTCAGTGTTTCCTGTATTCTGTGATGAAAATTTTAAAGTTTCCTTACAGATAATCCAATTTTGTTAATAAATGTATCAAGATATTCTTTTACTTTTAGAGCAGACATGTTACCTGTCAAAGGCTTTAACACGAGCCAGCAATTTCTTATTATTTCGACAGTTGATTAGGACTTGTGTGTTATTCTTTACAGACTGAGTTAAAACTGATAACGGACCCGTGTTGAATTCTTCCTGTTCATGTTGAGAAAGCTCTTCAGGAGTCATCTCACTTTTAGGCTTTTGAACAGCAGCCCTGAAAGAGCAAAGTTAATAGTGTTTTATGTATATATATAACATTTTTGCCAAAAAAATTTTGCCAAAAAAATTTGGTGCATTTCAAATATAAGTTGGCAAAAGTTTCATCATAAAGTGCCAAAAATACAATCATACAAACTTGCACATTTTTTTTAGCCATTTGCTTCATCTTTCTGGAATTGCCATATAATTAAAAAGTGCAAACTTTCTTTTAGGTTAAAAAAAACATCCCAAAAATTTTTTAAATAAAAATTAAATTTGTTACCGGTATTCTAATTCAGGCTAATAAATAAGAATTTTGTTTATTGTAAGGAATAATAACATTGCACTGGAGTTTTGGGTCAGTGAACTACAAAAAAACTGGGCAAAAAGATTTTCATTGGTCAGACTATTTAACAGAGAGTTGACTTAAACTCAAAGTGACAGACATGTCATTATTCAGTAGAGATAATTTGCAAGGAGGGCAGTGGAATTTTGACTGTCAAGGGATCTCTGCAGGGCTTAATCTGCCCTCTAGTATGTTATACCTATACTGTAGATACTTTGGTCAAAAATTTTAACATTTTGTAAAAATAAACCAATGGCATAGTTGAATAGAGCTAATTTTTTTTACAGAATTATAACACCAAAATCATATTTTTAGCTGTCGTAGTTTTAAAGTTATGAATTTTTAAAGTACGACTTGGTTTGTCCTTTTTTAACATGGACTGCATCTCCACATTCTGTGATCTCATTCCGCTGATCGCGTCATGCGCAATGACTTATATAGTTTATATAAGGCAACGCATTCCTTTTATCACTAAAATACTGTTTAGGGTCGACTTATTTTAAACTTTCAACTTTGGCACATGAATAATTAATTAAAGCTTTCCCTGACCAATGGTTTAATAGTTTTAGCACACGGCAAAGTCTAATGAATGAAACTCTGAGATAGTACTAGGATATAGCCGTTATGCAAATGGCTGTGAATGGTTGCCAATGACAATGGGTTGCACAGGAAAAATTCTGATCATTTATAATATGGACTCTACAGGGTTTTTAAAGCTCAAATTAAAACATTCCAGTTTGAATGTCTTCAAAATGCATTCTGAAACACAAAATATAAAATATTTTTATGTATATAGTGGTAATAATTAAATATTTCTTAAGCATCGGCAACTTCTGCAATTAAAAAGGGGGTGTGGCCGTTATGCAAGTGGCTGTGAATGGTTGCCAATGTCAAAATTAGGCTGAGCCACTTTATAGTGATATGCGCCACTGTGAGAAGCGTAACGAACGTGAGACACGACCTACATCAATGAAACTTGGCACAGATATAGATAAATATCTAATGCTTATACAGATTTAATCAAAAAGGGCCTTATATTATTATTTCACAAAAAATTTTGTATGCAAAGATGCCTTATATATACCAAAGATTTTCAAAATAAAGGTCGATTGAAAAAAGCAAAATAGCTGGCTAGAAATGTAGGCCAAGATGTCCTCCAAATTATAAGGCCGGAAACGGAACTCAAATATATGTCGAAAGAACTAATTTAATAATAAATAGCCACACACATCAGAAAATTAAAAATGTAATTTTTTCGGCGCCGAGGCCCATTTCCAATACACAAAAAGTAGTAATCTCCCTTGTTTCATCGAAATATCTACTGTACTTTAATAGACGTAGTGGTCTAATCTACCCACCACAATAAAATAATTCTATACAATACTAGTGAATAGTTCTACCCACTGCAATTTACATATTACAATGAAGACTACATAGTACATAGATACAAATATCGGCAATCCTCCGAAGTCCGGTCCCAAATTATTTCCAATGATTAATCCTTACTTAAAAGTCTTGGGCATCATTCTGTTTTGAAACTCATGTTTGCGTTAGTGGACAATGTTAGATGGAGGTTGTTGGCCGTCCAGATGTGCATTATCACTAATCATGTGTTACCAGGAATAACTACCGTCATGGACGCTTGGCGAGGATATCAAAATGTCGATCAGCTCAACAACGGTAGGGATAACAATACTTGTTCACGCACCGTTCTGCGCAAGTCCTAAAATGTCGAAAAAACATGTTCTACAATATGGCGTACGGCCACACGGTATCTTTGGAAAATTGCATACTACGTCACCTTTGTTTATTAAATAATGCTTTCCTCATCAGTGACGTATCAGTTTTTGCGTTCCGGTGATATATTGATTTATAATACGAGTTTTTTTTGTTTTTTTTGTGTCACGGACAGGAACATCGTAACCATTCGGTAAGTTTATCACATAATACTTTTTTGTTATTTATGGATTTAGAAAGATGTTTAGTGCTTTAGAAACTACATTCATTCGTGAGTATTAACATATTTAAATGATTAAAATCGGCGTTCTCCTTGAAAAGTTATGCCTCCCCCTAAAGTGTAGGTGGGGGTATGAAAATGTCGCTGAATCGAAAGTTAATTTTATGCGATCGAGTTACCGGATATTGCTATTATTACTGTCAATTATGCAGTGATCCTTTTTTGTTTAATCCCTAATCATCTGAATAATTCTAATACGTTTTAAATGAATACTTTTTTTTTTATATAAATAAGAAAAGATTTTAACCAAACTTGAAAAGTTTTGGGTCTATGGATTGCTTTTTAGTTTATAAATTACATAATTACAGTTAAATTTAAATAGTTTTGTTCACCGGGTACCAAATTTATCCGTTCTAGTTCTACCACCGTTCTTCATTATTAAATGAATAATTAATTGTTAAATAATAGTAATAATAAAATAATTGTTATTCTCTTATAAATTACTATTCATATGGGAGAATATTGCAAAAATTAGGCATACAATAACTGCTATTTTATCGGTAATCCTATTAAGTCTATTTAGGCCTAGTATCTAAATTTAGGCTAATAAATACTAATATTTAAAACACATTTGCAGTTGCAAGCCTAATTTAATTAAAGTTAGTAATTTTTAAATTTAATTATGAATTTTAAATTATTGTTAAGTTAATATAGCATTCTGATACTACATCATCATCATAGAAATAATTTTTTTTAATTAGAATTAGGACATAGAAAAGCAGTTTACATAAACAATTATTTAATATATCAAATTACAATAAATTTAATATTAAAATTTACAAAAAAGAAATGAGTTTTAATCACCACATAAAATGAATATTATTAAAAAGAAACAAGAAATTGTGAATATTGAGGATTATGATTAGATGTTATTTTTAGTCGTCTTTCAGGTACAAGGGAAAATTTTTAATTTTCGATTGAAGTTGAAGAGAAGATTTTTGTGGAATTTATTCCACTTCCATCAACAGTAAGGCATATATGGACGAGGATGGCTAAGATGGGTGCTGGGTGGCCGAGCGGTCTAAACTGTCTCAAACCAAATAGCAGTGGCGCCAGTGGTCCGGAGTTCAATCCCCATTAAAGCCAACATCCCCAGCACCCCGGGTGGATGGGACTCGTTAGCCTTGGACGGCAACCCATCTAAGAGAAGGCAAACTCTGAATTAAAACCAGGAGCCATAATGATCAACAAATTGATCGTGGGCCCCTCAAATATAAGAAGAAGAAGTCTCAAGACAAAGTTTATGAAGGAGAAATTTTGTGATTCATCAACAAGACCAAGAAGTCTGTAAACTTTACATTAAAGGAGTCTACATAGAAAATAATAGGCAGAACAGCCCCATTCCCTTTTAAAATTTAATCACATACCTGTATGCTCATATATTAGTGTCGTGGTGGTTGATTTGAATAGTTTTTATAATTTCATGCATTTAATTTTGTAGTAAAAAAGACTTCTACTTACCTTTTATAAAGATAAGAATTTATTTACAATATAACTGAATCATAAATTTAGTTTAAATACAATCAACATGTAATTTCTTTTGTTTTTGCCTTTACAATTAATAATTTTTCCAAATTTTTTGACACATGATTTTCTCAACATACCTGGAATAAAATTATCCAAAATAAAAAGTCTTGATGTAATGTAAAATTTATATTGTTCGTTGTGTTGGTTATTAGATTAGGAATGTCACCTGAAAATTTGGTGCAATTATCTTTAAAAATAAAAATGTTGTGGGCAAAATTATGCAGAAATGTGAAATTTGGGTCACACGTTTTGGGGGTAAAATATATAGATTATATAAGGGGCAAAAAAATTTGACTAAAAAAATCATAACTCCACTTCTATAAAAGATAGAAAGATGAAATTGGTGCTGTTGTTGTAAAGCTTACAACTAGCCCTTTAAAATGATGTATCATTCATGGCAATCAGACAATATTTAAATTTTGTGTCAAAGTACCTAACAACGGGATTTATGTGGGCAAAATTATGCAGAAATGTGAAATTTGGGTCACACGTTTTGGGGGTAAAATATATAGATTATATAAGGGGCAAAAAAATTTGACTAAAAAAATCATAACTCCACTTCTATAAAAGATAGAAAGATGAAATTGGTGCTGTTGTTGTAAAGCTTACAACTAGCCCTTTAAAATGATGTATCATTCATGGCAATCAGACAATATTTAAATTTTGTGTCAAAGTACCTAACAACGGGATTTATGCTCACGCTGTCATTGTGCACGAGCGTGAATTTGTTGATCCAGTAGACCAGGAGATTCACACTATTGAAGGACTTTGGATGCAAGCAAAACGTAAACTCAGCTATCAGAGTGGTAGGCCCGCTAGTCGCGATCTGCTTGCCAGTTGGGGCCTTTCAGTGGCGCAACAGTCACCAGCAGAACGTTTTCGGCTGGTATTAGCAAATGCTATGTGCCAAAATTTAGTATTTAATGACTGGTTTGTAAAGTTACAGTTATTTACAAAAGCTATGACTGACATATCTGCTGTTTTCAAACAATACACACTGCGCATTGCAGTTTTTTTCATACGAAATAATTTGGGGCTGGATTTCGGAGGATTGCCCAAATATCTATGTTCATAACACCACTGCTGATTAGCCCTTGCAACCAGTGAAGGATAGAGTTTGGGCAATCATTTTAAAGTAGGCCTAAACTAAAAGAAATGTTACTTTGTAAGAAAAACCACAACAAACAAAGAAATCTAAATTCTTTTGTCAATTCCGATTCCAGTTTGTTTATTTCTTTTTTTTTTTTTTTTGGGGGGGGGGGGGGGTTTTTTCTTTTTTTTTTTTTTTTTTTTTTTTTTTGGGGGGGGGGGGGAGGTTGTTTACATTTTTAGGAATATATACAGTAAATAAATGTTATTGTTGATCCGTTTATAAAAAATGTAAATATGCAAACACTTACATTGTATTTTATTACGTGATTATTGCGATAGGCTTTCGATTTTACAACGATTGCTTTGTTTATATATTAATTATTTTCACAACCGAATTTTTTTTCCTTAAGAGCCGGGATTTACTTCCGCTTCCGGGTAATACTAATTCAAAATAGTTTGAAACATTCGCCTTTTAAATACAACGCTTCAATAACAACAAACGTAGAAACATAATTTTAAATTGTCGAGCCAAATAATTCTAATAAATGTGCGTTCTTTTGCTTGATAATGGATTAAAACTTTTTGGGAAAAGAGGGTGACTTGATCCACTTAAATCATTCTTTACATGATCTCTAATGCAGAGTAAAATTTGTAAATGATGCAAACTAGATAATTTTTTTTTTTTAATTTTATCATCAACTTGATTCTCTTCATCAGACATTTGAAGCCATTGTACCTAGACATTGATTGAATACAGTGTATCAATCGTTCGGATCTGTCCTTACATTTACCAACCTTCCTGTTTGAAAACCACGCAGAAAAAAAACAACAAAAATAAGCAATATTTCCTAAGGCTAATGCTGCCCCCCAAAAAAGTGTCCACCCAGGGCGAACCCCCTACCAAGCCCTAGGCGTATATTATCCTCTTCTTCCTACCCAGACCCAGTGATTGTATATATGTTTTTTTTTTATCCAGACTCGGTCTGCAAGAGAATAAAAAAAACTCTAAGGTGACGATAACAACAACTGTATGGCGGAATAGCATTTGTTGAGCTACATATATGTTCCATTCATTCCCAAATTGCCAATCGGAAATGGAGAAAAAAATCAACATATGATTCAGAAATTACCATATGCCTATATCTAAAATAATAAATTATGTCAAATCCCGAAAAATGTAACATTGCCACATTGATTTAAAATTAATTGGCCTATGTTTTAACAAAAACCTCAAAACAATTCAGTATCATGGACCTGCAGCATTTATCCATTACAGTTAAACAGCAGGAACGGGTACCAAATTTTTTATATATTATTTATTTTTAAAATGTTTTTACCACCTTTTGCTTGCTGGTGACTAATGGCACACGCACTCGTCCGCTGGTCACTTTGTTTGAAAAACACATGTTTTAAAAAAATATTAATTTTAAAAAAAAATCACTTATGTACTATATTATTAGTCTATATCTTGAAATATTCGAAAACTATGGAAAAGCAAACACCACCCCACTTCCCCCCAAAAATGAATATACAAGTTTAATAATTATGATAGATGGTCATATATATTTAATAAATAAAACAATAATATTGCCTCCCTGTCTTGTCTATCGTACAGAGCCGTTCTTAGGAGTTTAGGAGCCCTAAGCATGGAGCGTAGGTTGGGGGCCCCGGAAGGGGGGGGGGGTCCGGGGGTGGAGCTCCCTCGAGCTGAGGAGAAAACACCACCCACCACTGACGCACCTCCATTCTGCCTTCATCAATGTTTCCTCTTTCCCACTCCCACGGCCAAGCCCCCAATTTCCTGTCTGCCACCCCCAAAGCTGCCCCCTGCTGCTTCCCTTCCCCTGCCTCCAAATTCAACTCAGCATGATAAATTTCAGGATGAGGAAGGTAATGTGAGTGACACAGACGGGTGCAGTGCCAGTTTAAAAAAAAAAAACAACGCCTCGCGTTCGGGGCCGTAGTCAGCGTATGCCTAAGATCGGGCCTGTATCGTATCTCACAATTTATCAATAAATTTATACTCTGTAAACCATGCTCCCCAGAGTAATTTTCAATAGAAATTAAACAACACCTAAAAACAAAGTTTTTCGTATAAATCCTTTATAAAATGTCATATCGAGCATAAGGGGGGGGGGGGGCTGAAAATTTGACAAAACAAAAATACAAGTAGGAAAATGATTCCCAAAAGTGCGCCCCCCCCCCCCCCCCCCCCTAATCCTTTATAAAATGTCATATCGGGCATAAGGGGGGGGGGGGGCTGAAAATTTGACAAAACATAAATACAAGTAGGAATATGATTCCCAATAGTGCGCCCCCCCCCCACCCCACCACACTTTTTTTTCAAGGCTAACAACTGCACATTTTTTTCACACCCCTGAACTATTTTAATATTCTAATGACCCACCCGCTTGTCAAAGGCAGACTTATGTAACCAAATATTTAAGAAAAAACAAACAAATATTACGCACTAACGATATATTTTCTTTATATAATCTCATTTAGTGCAGTAATCGGGAATTTTATCAAGTGAAATCAGTGGTATTATATTTCCTTCAGCTTCGCCTTGAAAAGGGGTGATTTTGGGAGATTGGGGGTGGGGCTGAAAATTTGAAAGATTGTGTTGTCGTCAGCACCCAGTCTATGTGCCAAGTTTCAGCTCGATATTTTGACGGGAAATTGGTCAATTAGCCATCCGAAGATTTTTTTCAGTACGCCAGCCAGCCACGAATAAAATCGCAATTCAGCGCAATTATCGGGAATTTTATTTTATCTTCCTCTGCCCTTGAAAAAAATGATTTTGAGGGGTTGGGGTTAAGAGGATGGCGGGAAGTGGGCCAATCAGCCATCCGAATATTTTACAAGCCAGTTAGCCAGCCAGCCACCCACGAACAAAAGCGAAGTTAATATAAAGGATTTTAAAAATATATCTGGCTCATTAATTAATTATGATTTAACTTTATTTATGTAAAAAAAAAATATTATTAATAATGATTCTTTTGGCAGATGTCTCAAACTTTTAAAGGAGGCAGGGGGGTATCTATAGTTTATTTTATAGGCCCTATTGCCTATCTATTAGACCTTCTCGATATTAAGAGGGCATCTTTCTCATGTTTTGCAAAACAATTGTTGTTAATAATTAGTTCTAAGCCACGTTTTATAAGCCACAAATTTGGGCAACAAATGAGAAGCGACTACGTAAGATAAGACAACTCTCAATATTTTTTTGAAGAATCGAATACTTAAGATTTCCATGTTGCTTTTTTTCAAGATCTTCGAAACTTAGTATTTTTATTTAAATTCAATTTATTTATTGTTTGTTGCATTGTCTGCTGAAGACTGAATAAGGTAGCTAGCCAAAAAGTCCGTTTAATTGTCTTGCCTTTTATTTTCAAACCTAAACATTTTACACTATTCATATACTTTACTTACATGACTTGAACTCAAGGTTTCTTTCAGCCAGAGGCGTAGCGTGGTGGGGGCAGGGGGGGACAGATTCCCCGGGCGCCAGCTAGTTAGGGGCGCCAAAATGTGCCTTGATATTATTTTATTGATGAAAATAATGGGTTTGAGAGTTGAAAAAAAGAAAAAGGGGCGCAAAAAATAGATCTTGTCCCCGGGCGCCAAACACCCTCGCTACACCACTGCTTTCAGCTATGTCTCGGGGGGGGGCAATGCCCCCAGGGGAAAGGCAAGTGCCCCCCCCGAGCAAAAATATGTCCAACAATAAATCAACTGGAACTGCTGGCGAAAAATCTGAAGTGCCCCCCCCCCGAAAATCTGAAGTGCCCCTCCGGAGGAAACTTTCTGAAAGAAACACTGCTTGAACTGAATGCAGTCCCTTGTACATTAATCATTATTATTAATTATACTTTGTTTTTCAACCTCATTTGCAAAAAATTATTCTATGAGTAGAATAGCTGGACAATAATGTATTAACTTAATTTAGTAAAACTTATGCCATAATATTAAAATACCAGTATCAGTATAGATAAATACTGTTTAAATTTTATTTATCGAATATATATTTTCAACGATACCTAACTTCGGTGTAATTGAAATTGTGTGATTGTAACACAGGTTACAGCGGTCAATTTTTGAAAGCTCTGTAAGCTCTGTCAGACTCCCAGGACTTAACAATTTATAGCCAAAGAATACCGGTATATATTATAAATAAATATTTGACTTATACAGAGAGATGTCGCCATGACGTCATTTGCGTGTTTATTTTAATTATAGTTATAGTTGCAGTGAATTAATTTTTTTTTAGCGTTCGGGTTAGGTTCAGCATTATATTCCCAGCCGATAAATGGTTCACTACCAGACCACTAGGACTAGTAGTAATAGTAATGATTATTTCCTGCCGAATTTGAATAACCATTCAGTCCATTCCTTAAAAAAAAAATAGCACCATAAGCCATAAGTCTAAGTATTAGTTGGCTAATTAGTAATTATTATATTTTTAACTTCAAGTTAGGCCTACGCCTACTACTACTACTACTACTACTTCTAGCAGAATTTAGAATTGATAGTAAAGCCCTACGCCTACACTAAGTGGGGCATTATTAGGCATTATTAGTATAAGATTATAAGGGATATAGAGGCCTAAATTGCTATATTATAGATTCCAATGAGCCATTGTTAGTAGGCCTACCAAAGCTAGGCCCAACTAGTTCTAGTATCAGTGGTTGAGAGTGAAGTTTTAAATCTAACTTTTAAGTTAAACGTTAAATAAGGCAAATTAAGGCATTAAAACTAAACATAAAACTAAAGACCCAGTTCAAGAAACTGACCCTGATCAGGCCTGCTCTGTAATTTTTATTTATTTTGATGTCAATTGGTGTTCTAATTTGTCTTGCGAGATAGGTGCTTTCAAACTTAATATTATTTAAATACAATGATTACTATTGATCAGCCCAGTCAGTAGTAATTCTAGGAGGGGGCCTGCCTCAGGCAGTACTTTAAGGGATATTTAAACCATTAAATAAATGATGTGTTTGTTAGAGAGCACACTTTTGGTAGTCTATTGCGTGTGAAAATTTGTCAAAGTACAACGCTTGGTTCTGTGCCAGTGACATAATGTCAAGGCTAAGGTCAAGGAGGAATGCTGTTGATAATACAAACACAGCTAAGTAGGCCAAACAAAATTAAATCCTTCAATGTCTTGAATTAGTTAAATTTTGCATCTGACCTAAAAGATGACAACATTAATCAACTTAACTTAATCCGACTTATCCTGACAACTTATTTTTTAAGTATCTTCAGGATCACTTAATTAATGCCTGATTTGTAACTTGACTTAGTCTTAATCTTTATTAATAGCAATATAACATTACTCTCAATAATGAGTTTATTGACTCTAATTTTATTTTTAGAGTTGAGAGTAGACGACGGCTGTAACATGCAGAAAACAAATATAATTATGCTTCTTTTGCCCATTCTACTGGTCATCATAAAAGAATCTGGAGCTGAAAAAGAAAAGAAGTTGCAGATAGGAATAAAAAAACGTGTTGATCCAGAGAAATGTAAAATCAAGTCTAGGAAAGGAGATATTTTACATATGCATTATACCGTAAGGAGTGTTAGGCCTAACTTAATTTAATGCTGAATGCTATTGGAAGAAAGATCCAGTTCCTAATAATTTTGTATTATTTTTTCATATCCAATAAATTATTAAATTTGTCAACACCACATTTGTCCCTGAAATAAATGTAGAAATGTATAATGTCTGTACCTTTAGGGCAAGCTGGAAGATGGGACTGAGTTTGATAGTAGCCTCTCTCGCAAAGAACCTTTTGTTTTCACATTAGGAACGGGACAAGTTATCAAAGGATGGGATCAAGGTTTGCTAAAGTAAGTTAATTTAAGTTTATTTATGACCGTTCTATGTTGCAGTAACTTAATTTTAATATTTTCATTACCTTTAAATAATTAATTCACATGTCGTTTTTTAAAATTACCCTGAAAAGGTGAACAAGTAGTTGTATACCTTTTAATTTTTTTTATTCCAACATATACCAGTACACAGTTAGAATTCATTGAAATTATGTGTTTAAGTAAAGCTTTACAGGACATTTATAAATAATCATCAATGAACTTGAATTTTATGCATAGTGATTACAATAAGAATAGGAAGTAAATGATCATAAGCAAATAATTTTGATAACTTAAGAGAGTTTTCTTTTAAAAAAAACTGATATTGTAAATTTTTTTTCCATTAAGCATGTGTGAAGAGGAGAAAAGAAAGCTTGTAATTCCTGCTGATATGGGATATGGAGACAGGGGTGCACCACCAAAAATACCAGGTGCATTTTAATTGTAGATAACCAATGTCTTGAAGAGATAACACATATCTTAAATTGTGATGTTTTTTTAATGCTTTTTGTTCAGGATTTGTTCAAGGGCTTTAGCTTTAACATGCCTTTGGTAAGAAGTGGAAATATTGTTTGTAACACCCACATTATGAATTTTATGATATATGAACATTATTACCTGTATGAAGATAAACACGGAATGTAGGAATGCAGCATGGAAATTCTAGTTTTTCTTGACAATCTTTACATTTTTCTCTGTAGGATGAGCAGTTTATATGAATTTGACATACCTACCTTTTTTTAGGCACCTAAAATACCTATCATCTTTCGAAAAAAATAAAAATAGTTTCATTTATTTTAAATATTTTATATCCATAATAATAATAGTTATTAAATAGCATATACTTAATTTTTTCAGGTGGTGCGACGCTGGTTTTTGAAGTGGAGTTGATCAAAATAGAAAGAAAAGAAGAACTGTGATTTTATAAAAAATTTGTTTTGCGATTTTTTTTTTTCTTTTTTTAGGAAAGATTATTTAAACCATATCTTTGTATTACCGTACCTTAACACACACACAATTGATTCTTAACCACAAAAAGGGACCTAAATCAATATCTGTAGAAAAATCTTGGCATCGTTTTAATTAAATTTTTGAATTAATCTCAATCATGTACCAGTATGTATTTGAGGATACTTTGCTCATTGATGTTTTAAGTCATACATCACTTTTACTAATAATTTGAATTAATATCTTCTTTGAATAAAGGGATCAAAAAAGAACCCAAGTTTTAAAAATAAATTTGAAATGAATGGGATCAGCCTAGACATTAAGATTATTTATTTTAATTCAAATGTATTCATAATATTATTTTTAACTCATCATCGACATCAATGTAACATTATTTAATGATTTTGAAAAGTGATTAATTTATTCAGAGAAAAAAAATTGCAATAATAAAAGAAACAAACCTTGTCATCAGAAAAAAACTATCATGCAATTCATCTTCATTAACTTGTTTGGACTGTGTATACCACCACCATTCCATAATTTTTGTTTCCTTCTCATTTTAAGCGCTCAACCAAAAAAAAAGTGTCCAAGTGGCCTAAAATGTTGCAATATATAAAAACCACTTATAAGATGTATGGCTTCATTAATTTTATTTCATACCTTGACAGTTTTTTAAAGCTTATTTTATAGTCTATCATATTTTGTTCAAATACAGTATTAAATATGTGGTTTAGATTTGCTTTCTTTAAAGTACTTCTTTATTTATCCCCACTTATGACTTACAGTATGTCAAGTATTTTAGAAATATTAAAAAGCTGCCGAATTGAAAGTGCACTTATTGATTCCACAATGCAATATATTATACCATGCAGAGTTGCAATGACAAAAAATTGTCAGTTTTTTTAAAATTTTAAAAACTTTTGATTGAGCAAAATTTAATATCTTTGTATGCATATGTATGCTTTAATAATTAAATATTGCTATGCTAATATTTCAGTGATTAATATAAAATTCAGTTGCTTCATTTAAGATCATTTTGATCATTATGTAATAAAACTCATTAATAGCTTGATAATGAGTAATATTTACTCTATTAAAACTTAAAACAGTTACAGTAAATATGTTAAATAAATTTTATTGAGCAGGAATGCTAAGTAATTTTATTATAATAGTTATTTAAACTTTTAACATGCATTATTTAGCCAATACTAAAAGAAAATTTAACTTACAAAATATAATTTATTTCTTCCAAAAATGCACCACAAAAAAGGTCAATGAAATAAATTTACTTTTCCCCAACTTGTTCAAGTCTATTGTTTTAAATTAATTTATATAGAAATCTATATTATGTCTGTTCTTATACAATTAAATTGATTGTGTTAATTCAACTTATTCTTTTAGTTGAATATAAATTATGGAAATGAATTGTATATTGACTGCAGAGCATAGAGGTGAATAATTTTGCTATTCACAATGGCTCAGCCCAATTTAGTTTTATAGTGCAATGTTAGGCTTTCGGATTTATGTGAATGGTTAAAATTGCATATTTTCTGCATAAGCTTCAAGAAATATTTTTAAAGAAAAGCAGAGCCATAAATTAGTATGAAATGTGATTTTGTTAAATGTCACACACTCAAGCCTTGACATACAATAACTTGAATAATGTACGAAGTCTTTTTTAAAACTTGAATTTTAGGGCTAACTTAAATGTCTCTTAAGGATAACTTTTTAATTTTTAGAAATTTCTTATAGCTTTTTCTGAACAATTAATGCACTTTTTAAATAATTTTATTATTCAAATAAATTAATTTCTATACATTTATTATGATATATCCCTTAAAAAAAAAAAAAAAAATTGTAAAAAAAAAATGTCCCAAATAAAAAATGCAGGCTGTCTTAAACATAAAAAAAAAAAAAAAAAAAAAAGAAAAGTGAGACAAGATTCCTTTTAACATGTTCACATTTAATAATTATAGATGACATATTCAAATACAGATTCCATGTACTTATGATGTTTAATCATGCATGCATAGCAATATATTAATGTTATACCACCATCCTCTCTCTTTACAAAATAAGTGCATAAGAAAGTTCAATAAAATTTCATGAATTTGTGAAACCAAATTGGCAGTAGCATAAGATAACTATTTTAAAAGTTCATTGCCATTGTTTTGTGTAAAACACATGTTTTAAGTCATGTCCATCTTGGACAATGTTTAAGTATAAGTTTCTATCAAATGAATAAAGATGAAGTTAATGAATTTCCCCAATAAAAAAACTTGCAAAATCTTTGCATGAAAATTTTCGTTATGATTCGATAAATATTATGAAGTTATGTCTTTAATTTGAAGGAAAAAAAACTTCTACTTAAATTAGAGGACAAAGTTTTAAATAAATGTTTTACATAGGCCTTTCTTCAATATTTTGAAACTTTTATTTAACATTATTTAACTACCTGTAAAAGAAAATACGACAAAAAGTACTCATTGGAAAAATTCCAAAAAATAAATAAATCAGGTTTTAATTTTTTTACTGGCCGTTTTATATCCTCAAGCAATTCAAATTCAATATAAAATACCCCTGGCACATACAAGGAGTCCCTTTGACTGTGAATAACTTGCCAAAGATAACAATTGTTTAAAAATTGTCGAGAAAATTAATATTTTTCATCAGATTTGAATATTGTTTGAATCATAAACCCAGTAACCGTATCATACTTTATTTGTATAGAAACATAATTTATTTGTGCAGAATTTTTGTTTATGTGCTAATTTATGCTGTGTTGAAATGCTTTTAATTACAGAATACAAAAAGTGCATCAACCAGAGTTAACAAAAGAAACCTGAAAATTGAGATGAAAAATAACACTGGAAGTAATAGTTTTTAAACTTTAGCAAATGGCAGTTTAATAAAGTCATCAAATTCTGTTAGTTCAACCGATAACCAAAATTGAATTTCCACATGGTTATAAGTTATAACTCTTTTAATTTCACTTTGCAAAAAATATTTTGTTGATAATTTGAATTTAATAGCATTTAGATGTAATTAAGTATTCAGACTGCTTAATTTTAATATTTATTTAGAAAGTTAATTTACTAAAGTTTGCTTTTCATCTGCTTTTAATGATTGTTTTTACAATGTTATTTGTAGGAGAACTTCTTGTCAGACAATTACACCATTTTTAAATTTTAAGTGCTTATAAATATAAAATCTCAGAGAAGGCTTTAGTTTTTTTGTTAAACTGGTACATACATCATTTTCTGGTACATACATCATTTTCAAAATAATATGACTTAAAACAAAGAAATCTTAATAATAATATGCACATATCCAAAATTAAATGTATTATGTTAAAAAATAAGATGAAACCTTTCATTCAAAAGTGAGAAAAATATAACATCTCATGACATTATCCAAAATCTTGTTAACCTTTGCAACATTAATATAAATTTTTTAAATACAAGACAAAATAAAATTGTTAGTTTGACTTAAAGCAAACAATTCTACTTCTACATGCAATCTTTAGGATTAAACCTAAAAAAAAAAAAATTAACACTCATCCTTCACGACCTTACATAATGTATATACAAATCCTTGAGGTAAGGTAGTTAAAATTGTATGGTTTTTTTTTTGGGAACAAATATACAGTGCAGCATAGAATTACTTTTATTTGGTTTTACAAGTCTATGTTTTCTTAGGGAATTTTCTAAGATCTTTATGGCAGCAAACCAATATACATGGCATTGGAAATTAAAAATTTTACAGTGATTTATTCCTCTACATTTCAAGATTGGCAGAAGGGGGTGGGTTGAAGATTTCAAGTCAAGTTTTCAACAGATTTATATTTTAAATAATAAATTGCAACATATAATATATTGGTCGAGCCTATTAAGTGTTAAAGCAAAACTATTTTTCAAATCAATAAACTATGTAGCCTCTAAAAAATTAGACATTAAATAATAACTTAAACTTAAATTGACAATGCTGCAGAACAAATTGTGTAAGAAACAATGAACTGCAAAGCTAAAAGATTATTGACCCCCTACCACTCAATAGCTACAATTACAAACTGATCTGCAAGAATGCTCTTTCATATCTGGTTCAAAACATTGTTTATTGCAAAGTTTGTTGTCTGACTTTATATGCATCTACAACAGGGTGTAATAGAAATTACTTTATGATAATGAAGTCAATAAACTTTGTAATAACTTACAAATTGGGGGACATTTTTTAATTTTACATAGCAAAAGCTGACAACCATAATAATGAGGACTTCATTCCTTTCCTACCACAATATGTACAATAAATTGTTGGTTAAATTTAAATATCAAAACAATAGATCACAGGTTCCCAACCCATGGGTCATGACCCCAACAAATGGATTTCTGTGGTGTCGCCAGCTGTAACCATTAATGAAAATTTTTTTATTTTAAATCAAGTTTCACTTCTAATCAATATCTTAAATTTTGAATTATATCGTAATGTCCCCCATTTGCTTTTACATACTGACTGGTATGCCCAAACTCATCATCCAATTTTGAAGCTTGTTAATGAGTTACAATTTCAACCATTGCATAAAATAAAAAAAACAATATTATACAGAAAAATATGTTTTCGATGTGTTTCCTTTTGCCCAATTCAAAAAAGGTTGGGAACCTGTGCAATAGATAGTGAATTAAGTTGAGCATACATTATTTCTACAAGTGATGGCGGCGGAGAAACAAATTAAATCCTTTGAAAATTTGAATATGAAACAAAATTTATATAATAAGAAAAAACAAACAATATCACCCCCTTTCGGGTCATCAGCCACAACCAACATTCTCTCAAAAGTAAGTATATATAAAGCCCTGAATCATTTTTTTTAATAAGACAAATTTTGTGAACTTGAAAAATCTATATCACAATTTTAAAAGAATAAAGTCCTTGTGGTGTCCTTTTTCAACACCAAACTTTTGAGCAAAGCAAGTAGACAAGACTTTTAAGAAGCAATGGGCAAAAACAATTGATTTTGAACCTAGTCAAACAACTATATTTAAGAATAAAAAACATATGTTTATATATTTTGGATTAAAAAACTATTAATGACACTAAAGAAGTTTTGTTGTAATAAGCAATCTCATTGAAACAGAAAATAAAAGACAAGTTTATACTATTTTTCTTTTCATAGAAGAATATCTACCACTGATTACTGACAGTTAAATAAGTTCACACATAAAATTCATGTGAACTTATATACAAAAATGGAAGAGAACAGATGATTTTTTCTTCATTTATATCATAACCTAACATGGCATAAATGTTAAATAAACAGTAAAACATTGCTCATAAGATAGGTGGTTTAAATAATGCATAATGATAAAACCAACTGGACTCTCTTTGCTTTAAAATATATTAATCAACAATACAAGGTTCTGTTCCTTATAAATGAATCATGTTAGTCTTAACGACTAATTATGGACTCAAGCATTTACTTACTCAAGAAATTCAGACAGGAACATTTTAAAATTTTTTTTCAACGTCTCTGAACTTTTAAAATCAAAAGCTCCTTTCTAATCTAATCAATCCTGTTGCATTGTTCAATCAATATTTTTTTAGATGGGCAAGTAAGAATTTCACAGCAAATTCATCAAGCCAGTTAGCAGATTGAGGCATCTTTTATAATTTTAATCAATATATTCATAATAAATGTGAATTTCAAAGAAATTTTTGAGATAAGCATTTCAGTAATTATTCCAAATTTAGAGATTTAAAAAAAAAAAAAAATTGTACATAAATAAAAAAAAAAAAAAAAAAAATTGTAAAAAAATAAAAAAAAAAAAAAAAAACATTTTGTGATGTTTAGTGTGGCAGTTTCATCAAACGTTAATAGTACTTCCAACACTAAATGAGTTAGTTACAGCTAAATATTTCTCAAGTAAAATATGTATGCACAAAAAGCATTTTTATCAACCACCAAAACTGCTAACACTAGTAAGTCATGCAAATGCCACAAAGTGGTTAGATTACCAACAGGAAACTATTACCCAAAAATTAATTTTCCTGATATTCTGAATACATTTTTGCATTCCGTAATTATTGCATAATTATGAGTACCATTTCCATCTTCTTCAAAATTTATGATGGTTTATCATGGTTGACGAATGTGATGAAAACACCAGAAATTTATATCTGTGTTGAGCTTGTCTTTGAAGAAGATGAAAAATCTATTACTGATCATTTCATCAATATTCTATATATCTCCTCTAAGCTCTACAATATATATATTTACATTAGAAATGCACAGTCACATCACCACGGTTAATGATTATAGCATTTTCAAATTTACCATTAAAGTAATACTTTTTTAAAAATAACTAAAAGTGACCCAAAAAATCATAATAATCAGCCCTTGAACTTGACTAGCCATAATGCACTTTTAAGATTTCAATTCAAATTCACATCTTTTAAATTTTAAACTGTATAGTCCACGAAAAAGGTAATGCTTTTATTATCTTTTACAGTTATTTCAGTGGATAATAAATACATGCATAATTAATAAATTAATAACCTTGAAAAAAAAAAAAAAAAAAAAAACACAAAAAAAAAAAACATTAATATTTTATTAAAAAAAAAAAAAAAAAAAAATGTAATGCTTTTATTATCTTTTACAGTTATTTCAGTGGATAATAAATACATGCATAATTAATAAATTAATAACCTTGAAAAAAAAAAAAAAAAGAGAGCTCAATGTAAGACAACCTTTATATTTTCTTGAACTGATAAAAAGAGACTAATTTATTTTTAAAAAACTTAAGCTTTTTTAAAAAATATTTCTTAACTCATTAATAAACCATATTTCAAACAAAAAAAAACCTATAAGCAAACATTTTCACTTCAACAAACAAGAACCACTCAGCCATAAATATCAAACTTTGCAAAAGAATATGAACATAAAAATAAAAGATGATGTTCCAATCAGCAGCAATATTTATGCTAGTAGCATTTGGGTCTAAAACATCACTTTTATGCAGATACATTTGCTAATTAAAAAAAAAAAAAAATTAATAATAAATAATCAGATTTAATTTATTTTAATTTTTTTTAAAGATTACCAAAATATGGTAATGATCAGACTTTTGGCAAGAAAGATACAAATTGTTTAATCTCCCCTGCTAAAAGCAATGCTCAAAAATATCAAATAATTCAATAGGATCTATCAGATAAAAATGTTGCAACATTCTGGTAGTCTTTCAAATTGGTATCACAAGTGATCTTCTCTTCGATAAGAAGGCCCAAGATGTCGTGTGGGTTTAATCATTTTTTCTCGGGCTTCCCTTCGTCCATCTTCTTTATGGTTAAAGTCACAGTCATGAAGTTCAGGAAGTCTATGTAGAGCACAAAATATGCGATCTGAAATAGAAATAATTCCAAATTTTAAAATATTATTTTGAAATAATATCCCTTTCCTCTTAATACAAAATATTTTTAAAATCAAATTTTAAAAGTGATTGTTAGCTAACTTATTTCAACAAGATACTTAACATATTATGGAAAATGATGGACTTCAAATTTTGTCTACTTACCACACCGACATCTACCTATAGTTCGCTGGGCTAATTCTAGCTTACAGCTACAAATAAAGCAACGTTTTTTGTTCTTTTGAGCGAAGGTAGTAAGCAGATTGTCACTTGCCTCCATCTCATCTCTGGATCTGTGAAAATATGTTTTCAACTCCATCATAACACAAAAATCATCCGACATTGTTCTTCAAATAGAATCATTTAAAAGACTTAGTTCCAATGCAGTCCAGACATGGATACATAAGTTATAATACATGTATGTAAAAAATGTCTCACAATGTTCAAGGGTTGAACCGATTAATCAACATGTTTGATGAAAACATTTTAACTCTCTTCCTTTATCCTTATCAGCTGAAAGTTGGTAAATCGATAAATATTGACTTTATTAAGTTTTCAATTCAAAGGGTGTTATCATTCCCTAACCCAAAATTACAGAAAATTGTAAAAAGCAAAATGTTTCTAGAAAATATGTATAGAATAGATTAAAATATATCTATAAAGGGACAAAATACTTATAAGTTTAAGTTGTTTTAATAAACAAACAAAATAATCTGCTCATTTAATCTAAAGTTGGCGTAAATTTACATTTTCCCTTATTTTATCTCTAGCTTGTATGAGGTCTTAAACAAAAGATAAAGATTTTTTAAAAATAAAATGTATTTTTAAAATACATATTAGAATGCGTCATTAAAGCTCAACATTTGAACAGTTAATTTAATGAAAACTGCTACTTACCAAATAAAACCAATGTTAATTTTTTCCCCATCAAATTCTTATTAAAAAAATATTTAAAAATCATGGTGAAATTCAGTAATGCAATATGCAAAAAAGAGATATAATTAAAAATTGGCTTAATAATTTTATTTCTGAAAAATGAAATTGAGAACAACTGTTTCATGTCAATCTAATTCATTTGTAAATGAACTAGAATGACTAGGCATGAAACTTTGTAAATTTGCAGTTACTCAGCCACATCTGCAATATCAAACTGATAAAGCCAGGGTTGCGAAATGCATATAGTTTCTCTAAGTAATTGAGTATCCCTCTATACCAGTGGGTCGCCTGTCAATATGCCTGGGGTCATTTGAAATTTCAGAAATTTAATATTTTTTGTAAAAATTTGCATTTTCATCTTATTTGAAGCACCTTGAATTTTAAAATTATTTATATTATTTACATTGATCAGTCTAATTTATTTTTATCAGTAAAATATGACTATACTACATTTGTTTACATTTTTTATAAAGTACATTAAAATAATTCCTTCTCGTATAACTAGAAATAATATAATTAGTTTATTGAGCATTTTTTAATTTAAAAAAGTTAAATACCTACATATTTATATATATATATATATATATAATAATGCATTATTTTGTTTTACTATTTAGCATAGCGCGTTCAAAAAGAAATTTGACGAAAATTTTAACATGTGGAATGAAAAAAAAATTCGACCAAATTTTCATTCGATCAATTTTCCGTCGCCGAAATTTCTTTCTATCAAATTTCCAGTAACCTTTATATATGCATTCTAAAAATAGGAATAAAATATCTTGTCTTAAAAAGTTATTCAATGTTATTTGTCATCAAAAGCATAGCTGGAGTGTTTGGCACACAGGACGAGATAATTTTAAACACCCCCCACCCATCTGAAACACATTATTTTCATCAATAAAATACCATCAAAGCCCTAATTGGCTCTCCCAACAAGTCTGCTGGTGCCCAGGGACATCTGTGCTAACACCTCTGTTTGTAATAAACTTTTAACACTGTGTTGGGTTAAAGTTGCATGTTTTTTTTGTTTTTTTTCTTTTCCTAGATAAACTTTTTGAATGAAAAGTGTTTAATTACTTTCAAAATCCAGCAAATCCCATACATGTTATGTACCACTAAATACTTTATTTTAGAGGAATACAGATATTAAATTCATAACTGTCTCACCTTTTGATACCCTTGTGTGCAGTTAAAGATAAACTGTTTACTGCTGAAGATTTCTCTATGCTCCCACTTGTAACTGACAAAGGCTGATTATTAGCTGAGGATGAAGCTTGGGAGTTTTTGTCATTAGAGAGTAAACTATCAGTCATTTTTTCTCCCCTTTCTTTGTTTCTATCTGCAGAGTTTTTATGGGAAGCTACTTTGCTATTTAGGTCCACACTAGTGCCAGATATACTAGGAGAACTAGATGTTTGAGTGGAAGATTTTGAGTCATTTGCAGAACTTTGTATTCCACAAATAGAAGAAACCTGGCTTCCCACTACCATGTGATCTCCAGCACTGATGAGAGATGTATTTGAAGAATATGTAGCTGCAATACTGCTTACCACTGAATTCAGGCTGGAGCAAGAGTCAGATTGACAATAACCAGCATCATGCTTAATATCATATGACTGGTCACTCGATGCAGAGCTACATGTGTCAGTATCACTAGGATCTGGCAATGGCTCACAAGAAGGTTTCACCATAGACGTTCCGGAAGAGCCTATATCTCCTCCTCCAACTGCACCACTCATAACTGTGGAAATATGTGCAGGTGTTGTAGTAGTACCACTTGTTGTTGAAGTAGTTGCATCAATGGATGATGATGTGGAAGCTGATAAGGCTGCTCTTTCACTTGGTGGTGCACTCAAAGAGCTGGCCAAGTTGTCAGTAGTAGACCGTGATGGGAAAGGTTTGGAATCCATCCTTTTCCCCTGACTGCTATTCTGAGACTGATTATGGCAGTTCCCAACAGCAGCCTTTCCACCATCTGATAAAATAAGTTACACAAGATTCAATTTTGTTTTTAAAATATAATTTATTAATATAAAGACTACAGCTTAAATTCAGCCAGGAAAGGATATTGCCATACTTTTTTAAAATCATAAACTATTAAATAACCAACACAAGTGTTCAATTTACATGAGAAAAAAAAGTATTATCCTTTTCTCAAACCTTATCATAATTATAATTTAAGATGGATGACCAGACCTGTTTACTCTTACGATTTTGGCTTACAATGTATGATTTTGAGGTGTATACATTATACATACGGCATGTTTATTTTTTTACTATCAAGCTAATGTATTGAACGATTTTGTGATGACATTGTACGATTTTGAGAGTTTGGGGGTAAACAGGTCTGTGGATGACCCTTCTTCGCCCCTGCACCCACCCTCTACATCAATATCCCATACAAGTTTTAAAATTAAAATAAGTTAAATGAAAGAAATGAGCAAAATAACTAATGTAAATATTACTTGATATTTATAAATAATTTCTCCCAGTCTATTTGTTGGACATTAATTGAGCCTGTCTTCATGAGATACTGTTCTAAACCAGAAAAAGTGTCTCCCCATTTTTATATATTTGACCTTCAATAGTCAATTATTGGGTTTCATAGAAGCATAAACCAAGCAAAGCGGGAGATTTTTATTTAATGACTTCCCTTTGCATACACAAAACCATTTTGACATTTCAATCTCGTTAAAATACTTACCAAAAGAGTGTGAAGTTCCTTGAGTCTGACCTCTATGTGCTGAAGAAAGAATAAGAATATACATTTTAATTTGAAAATGTTATAAATTGTGCTGCAACAATTTTTTAAAAAAAGGAAAATCCCTTCTTTTCAAAATAAAACTGATTCACATCATCAAACTTAAATAATTTTTATTTTAATTTGTTTATTTGATATAGCCAATGATTGTTATTACAAAATTTATAATGTGGATTGTTATGTGGAAACCACCACTAAAAAAATGTAATTGTAAATATAGGCAGATCTCTGGCTTTTTGAAAATTGATTTTTGTTCCATAATGGTTAATAAAATAACAGTGAATTATAAATATAATACTAAAAAATAATTCACCTTTTCTGTAGCAAATTGAACAGAGGCCTAAAGTTTTAGCTGACCTGGGGAAATTTTTTAAATTGTTTATTATTACATATTATCTTTAAAAAAAATATAAAAAATGTAATCTTTACCACAATATCTAAGAAGTGCCCTTAAATATCTGTAAATTATTCAAAATTTTTAAAACTAAAATTCTGTTTAAAAATCAAAGAATGGTGTTTTGGTATGTACTTTTAGTACATAATGAATGCAAGGGTTAGCAATGCTTTAGATAAATGCCACATATTGCAAATTAAACATTAAAAGATTTTGGCTATAAATGTCATATGAAAAAAAATTTAATTGATGGTGCTAATTTTATCAAATTTATTATGCAAGATCCAACTTAATCATTTTTGCATATTGTAAGAATCGTTGGCTTTGTCTTTTAACAAGATATAGTAAAGATTGTTATTTCAATCCCACAGACTTTAAAAAAGAAATTCATTAACATTATCATATCATACTGATGGTATTGTTAACAATTTTAAAAAATCTATTTTAATGCCATTTTCAAGCATTAAAGCCAGTTTTCAATGTTGTTAAAGCACTTCTGTAGTACACACATTGATTAAAAATATTTTTGCACCTGTCTGGGGAAGTATACAGGTAAATAATGGGCAACAAATGACATTATCTAGTTATTTTTTCCTGATTTGTTTAGATAATGTCTAAGCATAGAAACTATTACACTGTTCTCTTCAATATAAAATAGTCGGCGATGAAGTTGTCATAACACAATGTCTAAATACCAATGCTAATGCCCCTTGACTGTTACTGTCACATGACTCCATTATTAAATAATTTATAGCAAAATTAAAATTTGAATGACTCGATGGGATAAAAGATGCAATCCTGCTCCCTTAGAAACTACATCATAATCCATACAAAACATGCCTTTAACTGATCATCCTACATGAACAGAGTTAATTTTGATATGAAAAGTAATGTGGACTGAAAATGCTGTCCCCCAAAAAATGTCACCCATGGCAGACTACCCCTTTCTCCCCCTCTTCCTAAGCATCCAGTGACTGAGTTAAAAATAACATCTTGGCAGCTCCTCTTTGAAGTGCATTTACTACTGTTATATGTTTATTTGGTCTTGCAGAGTAAACATGTCTTGTTAATAACCACTTTGAAGGATGAAAGGTTCTTCATGGTGTGTCAAAAAAGAAAATGTACAGTCTGACCAGTTTTTATCCACCACTCTATTTCAATGTTGACAATCAAAATAGCATTTATCTTTTTTTTTTAAATTAACTTATAATTTTGATTTTAAAGAAAATAATTTAAAAACTGATATAATTCACCACTACTTCCCCCTTTGGTAGTCATCTTAGTTGTGTATAACTGAAAACATATGGACTTATTTTTTAAAGATATGCCTTAAATAAGGTATAGCCTACTATCCAGTCATCTCCCTAAATCTATTGAGCATTTTACCACCCCCTTAGGCCATTTCACCGGTTACCGGAAATTTGTTTGAAAGAAATTTTGTCGACCGAAAATTGAACAACGAAAATTTAATCGAGCGGGAGTTTGGCCCAATTTTTTTTTTCTTCAGTTCACACAATCAAATTTTGCATCAAATTTCTTTTTGAATCCACTATACTATTTAGTAAAATAAAATAATGCGTTCAAAAAGAAATTTTCGCAAAATTTGATCGTGAGATCTGAAAAAAAGTTTCCACCAAATTTCTGTTCAAACAAATTTACGTCTATCAATTTTCCATCGACAAAATTTCTTTCAAACAAATTTCCGGACACGCATTCCACCGCCCCCTGAATGCCTTGTCCACTTTGAGAACCAGCGATGTTGCCCCACTTTTCTAACAGCTATGTTGCCCCACTCTTCTACCAGCTATGTTGCCGGTGCATTCATTTCTAATGCCTAGTAAATAAAGATGGATAAGAGACGATAATAAACATCTCTTTAAATACTTAGCATCCCCTCAAACACCCCTCCCCCTTTTCCAGATAAAAATAATAATCTTGATCCTTTGAATGCAGTATATTTTAAGTTATTGCAGCAATTTAATGTCACATTAATGTTGTTAATAATTTAAATGTGGTAAAAAAGAGATAAATAAGATAAATTAAGTCATAAAGGACAGGTTACCAATTTTATATATATAATTACAATCTAGCTATGTTATCAATCACATGTCCTTAACAACCAACCCTATAATTAAAACCACTGATCACTGATAAGCCAAAAATAATTATGCATGCTATAAAAAAAAAGTATATTTAAAACTATTTATTATTAGTTAAATTTCCCATTTATATTCTGGATAACAAATTTTTTGTAAACTACCTCACAGCTGCCAACGGTAATAGGACATATGCAGACAAGCATAGTCACCATGATGACAAATCTCATAGCCTAAAAAGTGACCTCTTTAATTTCTATTTTTGACCCTGGCCTATGGTGTACATTCAGGAATTTTGGACATGTTATAAATGACATTATAAATTAGAGAAACTTTTTTTTTTATCTTTCAAACAGAGTTTAAAAATATGTTATTGATCAATGATTAGTAAAGTTTACCCATTTTTTAACTTCAAAATTCAAAGCTTTATCCTCCAAAAAAAAAAAAAAAATCCATTCTCAATAGAACAAGCAAGATGTCAGTTTTAAGTAATTGGCGGATGGAGAATTTATTATGCTAAAAATCGACTATAAAAGGTGAAACAACAATACCCTCGGTAAATTAAAAAGTGGAGGTTGTCATTTTGTCAATGAAATTACAATATGTGATTTTTTGGTGTTGCCGGGCAATACTTTCAATAAAGTCTATGCTAAAGTATTATAATATTTGCATTATCATTGTCTTTTTTGGCCTAGTACTTAAAATTTAGTACTAGCATCATTATTTTCAGTTTTAAGCCTACTTAGAAATCATCAAACGATTAGTCACCTATCTAGTGTAATATCTAGTAATAATAAGTGAATCATTGAGTGCACGTTAATATTTCACTTAATTCTCTTGTAAAGACTTATCACTACTACTATTATTATTATTACAGTGGTCTTATATAGCGAGGTAGCCCGGCCTCACAGCGCTGCACATAAAAAATTAGCAAACATAATCATGACATTAAAAAAATTGTATACATTAATTTAATTAAAAAACAGCTGTATAAAAACAAAAAAAATATATATTCACCCCACCAACCCCAGAGGTATTTACATGTCAACTATGGACGGCACTTAGTAGCATCATTTATCAGTCAGAGGGGGTGGGAATCAGTCGGGATAGTGGGGTTTGAAAAGATGTGTCTTGAGTGCAGTTTAAAAGGCCTGGGTGGTCGGTATCTTAAGGATGTGTAGTGGGATTTTTAGGGATGCAGAGAGAGAAAGATCGTTCAGCGTATGTTTTAATGCATGTCTTGGGAACAGAAAGAATATGCGTGTCTGTTGAAAGGGTCAATAGACAGAAAGAAGTTCGGTTAGATAGGAACAGGGGTGGACTGGGCCGTCGGGACATCGGGAAGATTCCCGATGGACCGCTAGGACCGGTGGTATAATAAAAATAAAAGTCATGAAGATAGAGCCGCTTTTTGTTTTTTTCCTGGGCCGCTTTGATTTTTCCCCGGGCCGCTTGAACTCCCCAGTCCACCCCTGGATAGGAAGGGTATGAATCCAAGAAAAAGTTGTGGCAGTGAACAAAGAGTTCATAATTAATGCGTGCTTGTAGAAAAGGGAGCCAGTGAAGTGAGTTTAGAGGAGTGGAGTGACATGATCATGTTTTTTTGCCTTTTAGAACTAACCTATCACCTGAGTTTTGAACTTTTTGTAGGTTTTTACTACTATGCTATGCTCATGAGCCATTGTTACTAGTGCTAGTACTAGTAGTTTTATGCAGTCAAGTAATTAGTAGGCAAACTTAATAACTTGGATAAGTTGGCTTAGTCAACATTTGTCAACAGTCAACAAGTATTAACCTAACACTAACATACTTTCAATTTCAAGTCTACATTGAAATCAAAGGAAAAGGATTTAATTATTCATTAATGTTTGGATTTAATAATTAATAAGCCAATTAAGCAATTTAATAAACTATTTCAACCTTCTTCAGTTTCAGTCATTGTCGATAAACAGTGTACAATACAATTGACAAGACTATAATCTATAGATTTGTGGTTATTTTGTGATATTATTTAGTTATTTATTTTTTAATTTTTGAACTGCACATTAAATATACACTATGTAGGCTATAGGCAGAGGCCTACATGAAATAATTGGTGAAAGGGTTCCGTTACAACAATAGGGCCTAATGACTATAATAACTATTTTTGAGTTTCTGAACTGGCTTGTCTGTCGCCATTTTCGCCACCTACAACACAGAATCTGGGAAGTAGCTTTTTTTTTCTTTTTTAACTTACAATAATGCAAGTTGATAATCATTCGCTCAAATACATTTATAAAGAAACAACTCACCCCCAAAAACCACAAGGACAACGAGACTGTGAATCACTACTTGATTCTTCCATATATATGTTGAATATTATAAAAGATCATATTAATAAGAATCAGATAGTAATAATATCCATAGAAATAACACCAAATTTGTGGAATGGATGTAAGGAAGATGACCAGCGACAGCAACTCTGTAGTCAGAATATATGAGCATGTAATGCCAAAATTAGATTCATTACAAAAAGTTATTAACAATTTTGGCCAAACATTATAATGAACTTATCAAACTATTCGGGTTTTTATTGATATTTTTCATTTATAACGTTGGTAATTGATATTTAAACCATTAAAAATTGAAAGAATTATTAGAATGAACAAAAACAAAAGAATAAAATAAAAATTGCTACTATTCATTTTTGAGATCGCGCAAGCCTAATAATCATGATATAATTATGACAGAGTCTTGTAAAATACTTTTTTTTAAAATTTTGTGTGTAAAGCAATCGTTTTATTTGTTTGTTTTCTTCTGGTGTCTTTCAGAAGGATAATTAAGAAACCCGAAATTATAACCAAAAAAATAGTCTCGTAAATAATTTTATTGCATAAAAAGTTAGTCTTTAGCTGTACACATTATATCGAAATGGTGTATAATCGATCTCAAAATTTCCCCTCTAAACTTTTAATATTTCCACTTAATATGACAACGACATGAATAATGAAATAATTCAATTAATTTGACAGCAATGCAAATTGGCAATTTGTCACAGCTGGTAACGTTGAAAACGAGACATTTTCCGGGTTAGGGTTGAAGATCAAGGTCAGAGGTAGCTTTACAACCTAAAAAAAAAAAAAAAAAAAAAAATTAAAAAGGTTAAGGGAAAAAAAAATATTTGACAGCAATGCAAATTGGCAATTTGTCACAGCTGGTAACGTTGAAAACGAGACATTTTCCGGGTTAGGGTTGAAGATCAAGGTCAGAGGTAGCTTTACAACCTAAAAAAAAAAAAAAAATTATAAAGGTTAAGGGAAATGAAAATGGAGCCCCAATCAAGGGGTTCTCTAACTGTATTTGCGTAGTAGTGAAATCTAGCCTTCTGATTGTTTCTTGCTTGAGAAGGGCATATGATAAAGCTAAAACGTATTGTAGGCCTATATAAGAAGTGATTCACGATCAAAATTGCAATATCATTATTTGGATCGCAATCGCAAACTGAAAACCACAAAAAGCTCTTTTAACTCTCACTAAAAGTTAATGAATGTTAGATGTAATATGTTGTTAATGCCGTTCAACACTCAGCTGGTTAGTTTTCAAGGCAACCATCAGCATTTCTGGAGTCGGTTAAGCACTGGATGACCATAAACAAGCTCAAATTAAATGATGATAAGACTGAGCTGCTCCCCATCGCGACCGATCAGAAGCAAAAATCTGCAAATAACACGACATCCATTACTCTCTCAGGTGTGCGTATTGAGTTAGCTCAAACAGTGCGGTACCTGGGTGTCTACCTAGATAGAATACTAACTTTTGAAAGTCATATTAACATGCTATGCAAGGCGATTTTTCTGGAGCTGAGCAGGATTAGTCACATCAGGCCCTTCCTAACAATTGATGCAACAAAGAGGCTGATGTCTGCATTTGTGCTATCACGCATGGACTATTGCAATGCTCTCATGGTGGGTCTTCCAGCTACGTTCCTGGATAAAATTCAAATAGCACAGAATAATGCGGCTCGCATTGTACTCCGCAAACGCAAGTTCGACCATGCAAAAACACTTCTGAGAGAGCTGCACTGGCTGCCGGTGCGTGCTCGCATAGAGTACAAAATCGCAACTTTGTGCTACCGCTGCTTACATGACCTGGAACCGTCCAATCTGAAAGAGCTGCTGACGCCTCACGTACCCACTAGAGAGCTCCACTCATCAGATAGTGGCAAACTCTCGAAACCACGTGTTTGCCTTGAGACTTACGGAAAGCGCACTTTCGCATTTGCTGGTCCAACAATTTGGAACGCCCTTCCTGTCGATCTCAGAAACAACCAGACACTGGAGTCCTTTCAAACCGATTTAAAGACACATCTATTTCGCAAACACCTTCTGGGATGATTGTCAACCTTATTTTCCAGTTAATGCATAATGGGTGTGTTGCGTATGGTTGACATGGCTAGGAAGACTTTGCCATTGTATGCTTGTAATTAGTTTTTGTAGTGTTGCGTTTGTTTTAAATGTGGTAAATTATAGATTTGTTTTTTTTTGTTGACTTTGTACCGCGCTTCGAGCCTTTGGGGATGAAGCGTGTTTTTGAAATGAACTTTATTATT